TATCAACATTAATCTCCAGCTTCCCGTCTGTTATAAAAAATTAGGCTACTCTGCGATCGACTTCAGTATTTGTTTTAATACAGATGTTGTAAAATACCTATAAAAAAAAAAACACGTAAACACCTAAAGGTCAAGAGCAGGTTAAAATTTATATTTTCTTAAATATTTTACTTTTTCTGAATTTATTTCAAGCAACATCATTATGTATTTATTGTTGGTATGAAGTATAATGAGGAATGTTTGCATCTCGCAGTATACCTAGACCCACATTACTAGCATTACTACACTTTACTAGCATTTAAGTACGCATTACTAAAAAGGCAATACGGTGTTAAAATACAGATGCCGTATGGGTATCAGTCCAGAAGATTAGAATGAATCAATCCAAAATCATTCCACATAATTTCATTATGTTATGTGTTAAACAATATAAGGTCCTGTACAACGTGTTTTATTTTATTTTACTGTATATTATTAGCTGTATTTTATTTTAGCTTTCAGCGTGCCATGCTCAACATAATAATGCACTATACCGTTTCCTTTAATGCCTTAATTTAAATATATATTAAATTAAACAAACAGTTCTGTTTTTAGCAAATTTGTAATGTTGATTTTATGTCTAATTAAAAGAAACCATATAAATATTTTGTCATTTTTAGTATTTTGTGTTTAGATATATTTGTATTTATTGGAGAGAACAAAAAAGCAGTTGAATCATCACAAGTGATAGGCACAGTATCATTTTAGAACAACATATTATTGCTTGCGGCCTTGGGCGACATAAACAGAAATACAGCAATAGTGCAAAGGTTTAAAATTTCAATCAAACAAGTGAGCTGAATTAATATAGCCTAATGAGTTACTTGTCATGTCCAAGTAAAAACACCAGCTAAGATTTATAAAAAAAATAAATAAATAAAAAAGAACACCTTCTGGGAATTACATTAAAATACATAGCATTGTGTTAAAAAAACAGCACTGAACAGATGGCCTAGTAAAAAAAACATTTATTTAGCAAAGTAACCTGCTTTAGATTAGAAACCCTTTTTTTATTTAGGTCTAGCTGCAATCAAACTTGGTTCCATACAAACGCGTAAACTAAATTCAGTGTAAATAGAGAGCGAAATGTGATCCAGCATGAACGCAATATAGCTACATAACAAAACGTGATTAATTTGAAACGATAAATATGGTTTAAAATAACCACGTGTGCTGAAAAGTGCCTTCAGGTTTGTTCTCTGAAAATACAAACTAAAACATTAAAGCAAAATAGCTCAAATCAAAGAACAACGTAAAAATATCTTGCCACAGTACAGCCGTCAAACTATCCTCATTCAAACCCACTGAAAACTAACCAGCAATCATTCACATGCTTACATATAAAGATCTGCACCAAACAAGGGATAGACCATTGCTAATGCTACTACAGATAGGCCTAATGCGCCACACGTTTGGAAATAGTACTATATGCTTCCGAACGCAAGCAAACATTCCAAGAAGGTGTTTTGATGTCCACCAATCCTTAGGCTATTTGAGGATATTGCCGCTATATCCGCATGCTAGGCGGCAGTGTCCTGTGGGGCTATTACGCGTGCTGTAAACTCTTTGTTGGTGACGCATTCCAGAGGAGAACCCCATTCACTCAACTGAATGAAAATGACTTTGGATTCCAGACTGTCTCTTCCCGTCGCAAAACAGCTGAAGGGAGGGGAGGGGGTTAAGAAAACAAGCATATATGGTGAAATCTAAAGTCTACTCTCCCAGGAAAAAAGGACAAGTCGCTGATGAGGCACTTTACAACAAACAACTTTACCAAAAACTTTATCTTAAATAAATTAGCTTATTATTTCTACATATTATACAGCTGATATGGTTTTAGAAGGCACTGTGTCCTTACTACTGTACAGTGTATATAACATCATAGCACAAACACTGTTGTTCCCCGCGTAATGTGGGGTAACCCCAAACCCACAGATTTAGACTGATTTAAAATAAATTTAAAAAACTATATTCAAAAATATTTCATATTTATATTTAAAAACATCTGAAGATACATATTCCGCACTGCACCTAACTAATAATAAAAAAAGAAACAAAATAAACAAAGGCAATGTAACTATAACCTAAAAATATTGTTCTCTATCTCTGCTTTTCTGTGTAAGTAGGCTATCTTATACTAAAATGTATTACTAATTAATACAATTAAGTGTAGAATTTTGATAATTTAATGTGCCGAGTATAAATTACAGCAAAACAGTGTGTATATAAAAAAAAAGTTTTATTCAAGTTGACATTATTATGTTGATAAAGGCCTACAGAATAATATATAGAATAAACATACATTAGGTTACACTAACTAATTTTTTTAAGGTCTGATTAGGTAGAAAAATCTCCCTGAAGCAGCCACACAGGTTCACTGTTTATAGTGTACAGAATCTGCAGGCCAAACATTGTCTGCCTTGGATACTAGCCACAGTAAGTCTGTTGTAGCAACGCTTTTTAATGTGCTTTTGCATGTGCTGTTACTACCACTGCTACTGTTCATGTTGCTGACATGTAAATATAATTAGTTTAAACGGATTTTACAAATCCAGTTTTTCTATTTGAGCCAGGACCGTTGAACCGTTTACCGGCTATTGAACCGTTTACAGGTTAAAAAAGTGTGTGGTTGGCCCACGTTATTTAAAAGTAGCGTAGCACTTCAAAACAAATATGAAGAGTTTAATTTTATATTTATTAGGTCAGGTTTCTAAGAGTACAACATCAAAGCCAGACAAGTTTAATTAAATTTGTAAAAGTGTTTAGTCTCATACACACGCAAATGCACGTGGAATTGGCTATATGGAAAGGATAAATTCATAGCTGACCAATTTAAAATTAACAGTTAATATATATATATATATATATATATATATATATATATATAGTTTTTTTTCTGTTTTTATCGAC